GCTGGCAGGCGGCGCCGCCCCCGGGCAGGGAGGAGGCTCTGCCTGGCCTGCATCGGACCCCCCGAGAGAGAGAGAGAGGGAGAGAGAGAGGCTCTTTGTCCGTCCCGCTGGACTGCGGCGGAGGGGGCGGGGACGCCACTGGGTACTTCCTTGGGACAGTCCCCTCCGGACAGCAAAGGGCTGGAGAGCTGCAACCCTAATCGCTGCTTTGGCTGTCCCAGCAGGTGGTGGGCAGTGGTGGTGTTCGCCGCGCTCCCGTCTTCGGGAGCAGGTGGAGAGTCCCCCGAAGCCCCTCCGCAGTCCTGGACACAGCTGTGGTTCTTCCGCTTTTTCTTGAATGTTGCTGGCTATGCCAGTTTTATGGTACCTGGCTACCTCCTGGTGCAATACTTAAGACGGAAGAACTACCTGGAGACAGGTAATGTGGTCAAAGGGTGGGGACGTGAGCGAGGTACGGTTGCAGGTGTTGGTAGATACTCAAAGCTGAACGTTACTTGGGAAGGGAGGGAAGCCAGTGGGTCAGACGGGGTGGTGAGGGGGTGTGGGCTGGCTGCTCTAGAGAAGTTGTGGAGCTTGACCTTGTGTGTCTTCTAAAGGCAGGGGTCTCTGCTTTCCCCTGGTGAAGGCCTGTGTGTTTGGCAATGAGCCCAAGGCCTCTGATGAGGTTCCACTGGCTCCCCGGACAGAGACAGCAGACAGTAGTCCCTCTTGGCAGGTCCTGAAGCTGATCTTCTGTGCCTCGGGGCTCCAGGTAAGTAGACAGGCTCCCCTTCTCTTCCCAGGTTGGGTACAGACAGCCAGGGACTTAATGGAAGCCAAAGTTGTCCTGCCCATACCAAAGGTTTGTTGATTTAGGTATGGTTTATGTCCCTGGAGGACAATCCCTCCCTGAAAGTGTTGAAGGAAATGCTACTTTCTTCCTCTTATCCTTTCCTCCTTCAACACCTTCCCAAAAGTTCACCATACAATCTGTAATGATGTCTAGTGTGGAAGAGGGCCTGTCTTTTCTGTATTTTTGTTCTGTGCTCTTTTACTGCTCTGTGTACTGTGTCTAATGTATGAGCTCACTTACAAAATTTTTGGGAAAGCCAAGCAAGGTGGCGCAAGCTGTCAACCCACCTGTTTGGAAACTAAAGCAAAAGAATTGAAAATTCAAGGCCTGCGCCTGGTAGTGGTGGCACATGCCTTTAATCCAGCACTCTGGAGGCTGGAGAATCTCTCTGAGTTCGAGGTCAGCCTGGTCTCCAGAGCAAGTCCCAGGACAGCCAGAGCTACACAGACACACCCTATCTTGAAAAGCCAAAAAATAAAAACTAAAATAAAATAGAAGAAAAAAATCCAAGGCCTGCCTGAGCAATTTAGTGTGAGATTCTGTTAAAACATAAAATAAACCAAGTGTTGAGGTATGTCTGTCCCAGCATGTAGGAGGCAGAGTGGGTGGATCTCTGGAGTTGGAGATCATCTTGGTTTACATGTCAAGTTCTAGTATAACTAGAGCTGCATAGCAAGACCCTGTCTCAAAATAATAAAATACTGTGGGAGGGGCTCTAGGGATATAACCCATTAGTAGAGTAGTTGCCTACCAAGTACAGTCGATTCCCCAGGACCACACACACACAAAACTTGAGGCAGCCATTCCGCCTTTGTGAGTAGGGTGCTGTCACAGGCCATGGTTTGGAGTGGATGCCAACCTACTTAGATATATGTCAAAGGGAAAGTGGCCAGCCTTCTCTGAGGCTTCCAAACATTCCAGTTTATTTTGAATTGGTTCAAAATAAATAAGACTATATGGTATATGGAGCCAGCTCTAATGAACTTGTGCTAAGAAGATGGACAGGGTGTGATCCTAAAACAGGTGTCACTGTGTTTGCAACTCCATGTGATTCTCTACAAGATGAATTAAATCTTAGGAAAGAAGCCTCTACTAGAGAGGAACCAGAAAGGATGGTGGTGTTATATCGTATACAATCATCCCAAGGAGGAGAGAAAAGTGAGACTTCCACCTTCTTTTCTTGTTTACCATTACCATTCTTCCCCCTTCCTCCTCCCAGGTGTCCTATCTGACTTGGGGTGTACTGCAGGAAAGAGTGATGACCGGCAGCTATGGGGCCACCGCCACATCACCAGGCGAGCACTTCATGGACTCACAGTTCCTGGTGCTAATGAACCGTGTGCTGGCACTGATCGTGGCAGGTCTCTACTGTGTCCTACGCAAACAACCCCGTCATGGGGCACCCATGTACCGGTACTCTTTTGCCAGTCTGTCTAACGTGCTTAGCAGCTGGTGCCAATACGAAGCGCTTAAATTTGTCAGCTTCCCTACCCAAGTGCTGGCCAAGGCCTCCAAGGTGATTCCTGTCATGATGATGGGAAAGCTGGTGTCTAGACGAAGCTATGAACACTGGGAATACCTGACTGCCGGCCTCATCTCCATTGGAGTTAGCATGTTTCTGCTGTCTAGTGGACCAGAGCCCCGAAGCTCTCCAGCCACCACACTCTCAGGCTTGATTCTACTGGCAGGCTACATTTTTTTTTATGCTTTTGACAGCTTCACCTCAAACTGGCAGGATGCCCTGTTTGCCTATAAGATGTCATCAGTGCAGATGATGTTTGGGGTCAATTTATTCTCCTGTCTTTTCACAGTAGGCTCACTACTGGAGCAGGGGGCCCTCCTGGAGGGAGCCCGCTTTATGGGACGGCACAGTGAGTTTGCACTTCATGCCCTCCTCCTCTCCATCTGCTCTGCCTTTGGCCAGCTCTTCATCTTCTATACCATTGGACAATTTGGAGCTGCTGTCTTCACCATCATCATGACTCTCCGCCAGGCTATTGCCATCCTTCTCTCCTGCCTCCTCTATGGCCACACTGTCACTGTGGTGGGGGGACTGGGAGTGGCTGTGGTCTTCACTGCCCTCCTACTCAGAGTCTATGCCCGGGGCCGTAAGCAGCGGGGAAAGAAGGTTGTACCAACTGAGCCCCCAGTGCAGAAGGTATGAGGACTAAGGACCCTCACTCTGGTTTTCTGTAGCTTATCAGAGGCGCTGACTCAAGGGCAAAATTATTTTCAACATCTCAGTGTACAGCAGAGGATTGGAGCCCTGGAGGCAGCCTCTTTTGCCTTAAGAGCCCCACCTACTTACTTGGTAGTTGTGGGTCTGAGTTATGGAGATAATCCAGATAGAGCTCCTCCCCACAACCTGAGACCTTGGTTTAGCTGGTAGAACTGTAAACCAGCACCTAGCCTTTGCTTGTTTTTCCTTTAACACCCAACCCGCAAGACTGCCAGACATAGCTGGTCAAGAGCAGCACAAAGTTTACAGGTCCTAATGTGGTTGGGGGGTAGGGGGGCACACTAGTGAAAATGGTGCTGTGCCAAACAAAGCCCTGCCCAGCCCCTTTGGGGCCTTTGTGTTCCTTGCTCAAGTTTTGCTACTTGGGAATGTCACCTTTTGCTCTTATTTGATTAAAACTGCAGCAGTGACTTGGCCGTGTGTTGGTTGGTTGAAAGGGGAACTACCTCCCATCCTGAGTGGTACTTTACAAGGAGAATAGTACTATATGAAACTGCATTTTCTTTATTTTCACATACTTTTAATTTCAGAACAAAATAAAACAAACAAAACCACAATACACAATACCCAACCCTGCTATTCTGTGGGAGGGGACTTTCCTGCCTTAAGGCACAAGGACAGGATAAAGAGATCCTCTAGCTTGAACAGAGAGCCAGGTAGGTTGGGGCCAGCCAAGGCATGGGGGGTGGGGCTCAGGGAAACTATACAGAGGACATGGTCTTCCCAGGGGATCTCTAATCTACTTCTTCCATGCGGGAGGCATCCTCATCACCCTCGAGTGGGGGGATCTCATCAGGAACAGCAGCACTGGGCTCCTCTGCTGTCACCTCATCTTCATCGATACCTAGAAAAAGAAAAATAAATCTTGAGCAAAATGGTAGTACTAAGTCTGTGCGGGGATCCAGCCAGTCCAACAACTTGCCACCTATGTGGCTCACAAGGCTGACTCACCCAGGCCTAGTTTGATCATGCGGTAGATGCGGTTGGAGTGGGTTTGGGGATCCTCAAGTGAGAAACCAGAGGAGAGCAGAGCAGTCTCAAACAGCAGCACCACCAGATCCTTGACAGCTTTGTCGTTTTTATCTGCCTCAGCCTTCTGCCTCAGAGTCTCCACGATGGGGTGGTCAGGGTTGATCTCTAGGTGCTTTTTGGCCATCATGTAGCCCATGGTAGAGTTGTCTCTGAGTGCCTGGGCCTTCATGATCCGCTCCATGTTGGCTGTCCAGCCATAGGTGCTTGTCACAATGCAGCAGGGTGAAGACACTAGCCTATTGGAGATGGTCACCTGTGGACAACCAAATGGTCAGTCACAAGATGTAGCCTTGGCTGTCCTGACACACACTCCATGTGGAGCCACATAAAAAGTTCTTTGTGGAATGACAAAACTTCAGCTGCTACTCTGGATGCTGGGTTAGGGTCAGGGAAACACACAACAAGGCCTTTTCTTGCATGTATGATTTAGATGGTGTAATCACTGTTATATGAAAAAAAGTTCTTACTTCACCAACAGATACAGTATTGCTGGGGGAAGGGCCCCACACTAACTGTACAACAGCATAACATTTCTAGAGGACAAACTTCCAACAAACTTACCTTCTCAACCTTCTTATCCAAGATCTCCTTCATGAGCTTGCAGAGATTCTCAAATTTTGCCTTGCTCTCCTCCATTTTCTTCTTCTCTTCCTCATCTTCTGGCAGCTCCAGGCCTTCCTTAGTCACTGAGACCAGACTCTTTCCATCAAACTCCTTGAGCTGTTGCACGCAGTACTCATCAATAGGCTCAGTCATGTACACCGCTTCAAAGCCTCGCTTCGGCACACGCTCCACAAAGGCAGAGTTGGCTACCTGCTCTTTGCTCTCACCTATAGGATTAAAGACTCAGTGACCAAAGGCCTTTATAACTGCAACATGTCCTGTCTTCCCCAATCCCACACCTTCAAGGCAGCTTTGTGCTCAGACCCAAGCTCCCTCCAACATACCAGTGATGTAATAGATGGACTTCTGTGTCTCCTTCATGCGGGACACATATTCTGACAGGGAAGTCATCTCATCTCCAGACTGAGAGGTATGATAGCGCAGCAGCTCAGAGAGACGCCGACGGTTAGTGGAATCTTCATGGATTCCAAGCTTTAAGGGTAGGAAAGAAAAGTCCAAATATGAGCTGAAAAAAATACTTTCAACACAAAGTCATCAGAAGAAAAATCACTTGCTCACTATACCTTTAAGTTCTTGGAGAAGGCCTCGTAGAATTTCTTATAGTTCTCTTTGTCTTCAGCCAGCTCAGAGAAGAGCTCAAGGCACTTCTTCACAATGTTTTTACGGATAACTTTCAGGATCTTGCTCTGTTGGAGCATTTCTCGAGAGATGTTCAGGGGCAGGTCCTCAGAGTCCACCACGCCACGGATAAAGTCTACAATCAACCAGAGCCAAGGAACAGGTGAGGTGGGTCAGACCTGGTCTGGTTATCAGATTTAAGTCACCCAGCCAAGTGAAGGTTTGGGAAGCCAAGGACTGTAATTATCTGGGTTAAAGATAGTCTCAGCTGTATGCTGAAGGTATACTCACTGAGGTACTCGGGGATCAGCTCATCACAGCTGTCCATGATGAACACACGACGGACGTACAGTTTGATATTGTTCTTCTTCTTCTTGTTCTCAAAAAGGTCAAAGGGAGCTCGCCGAGGAATGAAGAGCAATGCTCTGAATTCCAACTGACCCTCTACAGAGAAGTGCTGAAAAACCCAGTAGTACATTTCAGGACAACATCACCTCAAGTCCCAGTATCAGAGATCTATCACTGAAATGCCACACCCCAAAAACCCTACGATGAGAAACTAGCTCAAATACTAAGTAAACCTAGAATACTAGTAGCAAAAAGTATCCCTCCATGGCAGTCATGGCCACCACCAGAAGGTAAAAAAGTGAATTAAACCACTGCCAAGCAAGGCCTGAGTAGTTCCCAGAGACAGTCATGATGTCCAGTTGAACAAGCTGCTTGGTACCACCTCCAGCACATTCTATGTACCCCTCCAATTAACATACCATGTAAGGTTTCTCACCTTGACTGCCAAGTGGTCCTCCCAATCATTGGTGAGGCTCTTATAGAAATCACCATATTCTTCTTGAGTGATGTCATCAGGGTTTCTGGTCCAAATGGGCTTAGTCTTATTCAACTCTTCCTGATCAATGTATTTCTCCTTAATCTTCTTCGTTTTCTTTTTCTTATCTTTGCCACTGTCATCCTCCTCATCTGATCCTACATCTTCAATCTTTGGCTTTTCCTCATCATCCTTATCTTCTTCCTCTTTCTCACCCTTCTCTTCTTCTGCCTCATCATCACTGATCTCCTTCTCTCGTTCCTTCTCCAACTAAATTACCAAATTGGATAATGAGTTGTGGAGAACTTATCACCAGCAAAGACTGCTCAAATACTGCCAAGTCCATACTCACATAGAGGGTGATGGGATAGCCTATGAACTGCGAGTGTTTCTTCACCACTTCCTTGACCCTCCTCTCCTCTAAGTACTCTGTCTGGTCTTCTTTGAGATGAAGGATGACTTTGGTACCCCGGCCAATGGGCTCACCTATAAAAAAGTGAATGATAGAATCAAGACATAGAAAACTACAACTAAGCTGGGCGGTGGGGTGGTGCACGCCTTTAATCCTGGCAGGAGGATCTCTGAGTTCAAGACCAGCCTGGTCTACAAGAGCTAGTTCCAGGACAGCCTCCAAAGCCACAGGAAAAACCCTGTCTCAAAAAACCACAATGAAGAAAAAAAAAACAAACAAAAAAACTACAACCAAAATACTCAACCCCCTGCTCCCCATTTTGACACAGGGCTTCTATGTAGCCCAGGCTGTCCTAAAACAAGAGATCCATCTGCCTCTGCCTCCAAAGTGCTGAGATTAAACAGTGCATGATCAAGACTTTGGACTTTCTATCCTCCAGAGAATTCTACCAAGCATCCAAACGAGGACAGGCAGCTTACCATGGTCTGCACGCACTGTGAAGGATCCACCAGCAGAGGACTCCCAAGCATACTGCTCGTCATCATTGTGCTTTGTGATCACAACCACTTTCTCTGCCACGAGATAGGCAGAGTAGAATCCAACACCAAACTGCCCAATCATGGATATGTCTGCACCAGCCTGCCAAAGGATTTTAAAAGTTAAGAGGTAAGTAAAATGGTTCTGCACAAGTGCTTGCTGAACTCAAGTGTAACTATCAAGTAGTTCAATCCCTGGGACCTACTGGCCAGTAATCCTCTGATCTCCATATGTTAAAAGCCTACCATATCACTAGTGAAAACAAGTACTGAAAAATTAACAAGTCAAAAGCAGTATTGAGAATGTTGTGGATATAGGGCCACACACCTGGAGAGCCTCCATGAAAGCCTTTGTGCCAGACTTAGCAATGGTTCCCAAGTTATTTATGAGATCAGCTTTGGTCATGCCAATGCCCGTGTCCACCAAAGTCAGCGTGCGCTCCTGAGGGTTGGGGATGATGTCAATCTTCAGCTCTTTGCCGCTGTCCAATTTGGAAGGGTCTGTCAGGCTCTCATAGCGAATCTTGTCCAAGGCCTGTAAATAAACACACAGCCACATTATTCCATTTCTGCAAACATTGTCTTGGCTCTCAACCCACGGCAGACTCCTCTCAATCCCTCACTGGGCTTCTATGAAGCTGTGATACTCACATCAGAAGCATTGGAGATCAATTCTCGAAGGAAAATCTCCTTGTTTGAGTAGAAAGTATTTATGATCAAGGACATGAGCTGGGCGATTTCTGCCTGGAAGGCAAAGGTCTCCACCTCTTCCTCGCCATGGTGCACCTCCTCAGGCATCTAAGAAAGCATTACACATTAATTACTAAAACGATGGATGCACTTTAAAATCCAATTCAAAATGCTTTAAGCTGAGTAGTATCCATTCCCAAGGGATGAGAACCGCCATTTTTAAAAAGACCTTGAAAAGCTACAGTAAGCTGGTAAACCGAAAACGGAAAAAACTCAAAGGATGGATGGTTCTTCAAACAAACGCAGCCAAAACGGTATACTACAGCTCAAACAGGCTCAACCCGACAACATACCTTGTTAAAATTCAAGAAATGATAATTCGTTAGCTACCCGGTGAACATATACAGGAAACCCTTTACAACTTTATTTGGGCAAAAAAGAAACTAACAGAAACAGCAGCCATTTCTATGTGCCGCTCCATCCTAGCAGGAGCAGGGAACCCGAGGCTGCAGTCATGGAGGCACTCAAGGAGCAATTAAACCAGGACAAAGAGGTAAAAGCTCCACCATGACCTCTCTCACTGCGCAGACTTGCATAGCCCTGAACACAAGTAAAATGGTGGCCCGAGCCTTCCAGCGACCCTCGTCACTGCCGGACACGCGTCGGCGGCAGCCATCGGGGAGGGGGCGCCACCGCAACCCTCCCACTGCCCCAGCATCCGGGCACTGGGGCGGGGCACCAGGAGCTTCCAGAACAATCTGAGCTCCAGGGCGGGGAGGAGTAGGGGAGGGGTAGGGGAGGGACCAATGGATCTTCCCGTGCCAGCCCCCTCCGGGTTCCTCCTCCTCCTTCCCCGGAGCGCAGGAAAGATCTGGAAAGGCAAATGGCAGTGCGCTCAAGCGTCCCTGCCACCCCGTGGACGACCCCCACGCCCAAGAACCCCAACCACGTTGGGAAAGGCGTCCAAAGGAGGCGGCCAGGCCAGCCTCACAGGGCCGTGCTGAGTCACGCC